CCCCTTTTGTTATTGCATATCAACCCCTTAAATTCGAACACTACAATAAATCCAAATTTAATTATTATTTTCCTATTTTCATGTCCAGTTTGCCTTTCAAGTATTTAAAATACCGGAACACAAGAATATCGTTCATTATTGAAAATATTCCAAAACAAAATCCTGTCCATAATTTATAATTTCAAATCTCGTTTATAGTTTCACTTTGTCCTTTCACCGTACATATTGCATCGAATAACTTTTTCTACGTTCAATTTTCCCCCTTTGTTTTTCGACTCCACCGATAGGCACGAAAGTTGAAGCAGCAACTGGCTGAAAAATCAATTTTAATGCTGGGTTACGTTGCTTTTGTTGTTTATTCATGCTGTCAGACCGTTAATCGTTCCATTCACGCGTTGTTACCACGGTGATTAATTTTTATCGGTCGGCAGGGTCGTGTAACGAATTCTCGTCGCGCAAACGCGATCGACACTCTACACTTTTGTTCACTTTGTTTTCTATTGTCTACTATTATTATTTTCATTTTTCATCGCCTCCAAAATTGCTATTCACCGTCAAAATTTTTATTAGCGCTCGAAATTCCGATAGTTGAATAATTCAGATTCAAGCGTTTGTAAAATTCAAGTGTTCGAATAATTTCTATTTATATATTTCAGTGATTTATATTCGATATTGACTTTTTTCGTATTTCTACATTTTTACATTTTTTTATTTTCAAAGTTTCAACGTTTATATTTTCAAATTTATATACTTTGCGAAATAGGTAATTCTTAAATTCTTAGATTTCTGAATATCCATGTTCTTAAATTTCACCACTACTAAATTCACAGATTCAGAAGTCTCGTAGATCGCTAATTCCCTAGGTCACTAAATCCCTAGATCCTAAAACTCTTGCTCTTCAAGTTTCCTAGAGCAAGAGAAAAATCCCTAGATCCCATAATTCTTACATCCCAAATTTTCAGGATTCAGAAATCGCTAGATAATTCCCTAGATCGCAAAAAGTTTACATCCCTAATTCTCTTGATACCATAATTCGTGCACCCAAAAATCCCTAGATTTCAAAATACTTGTATTCCAAATTTCCTAGATCTAGAATTCCTTAGATTCCAAAATTCGTACACACCTAATTCCCTAGATCCAAAAATCTCTAGATCTCACAATTCTTGCATCCCTAATTTCCTAGATCCAGAATTCCCTAGATTCCAAAATTCTTACACCCCAGAATTCCCTAGATTCCAAAATTCTTGCACCCTAAAAATCCCTAGATCCCGAAATTCTTGCACCCCAAAAGTCGCTAGATCCCAAAATTCTTGCACCCCAAAAATCTCCAGATCCCCAAATTCTTACTCCCCCTAATTTCTTAAATACAAAAATCTCTTGATCCCAATGTAAGAGTACTAACTTTGTCCTCCTCTTACCCAGAACCGTTCCAGAGTGAATATCAATATTTGTTTACAACAAGTCAATTATCTCTTAATGCTTATAAGATGAATTTGTCTGTTAATAACCCGCGATCGACTTGACGATTCTCCTTAAGACTTGAACACCGTTTATCAAGAACGATTCACGAGCGACTTGCAACGATTCTACGATCCAAAGTAAAAGCTTAATCCGTCGACGAGGTTGAGAGGGTTCTTGACGAGCAACGTATCGCCTCCTCGATTCATCGAACGAGAACGATCGGTTTTGTAGAGAAGGTGATCGACGAGAGCTTCGATCCGAAGACTTTACGTTCACGAATTTCCTGGAGAACTCTCGAGTTATCGCTAAGGAAGCTCTCGCTCATTCTGTCGCTTGTTTCTTTTAATTTCACCTGAAATAATTTCCACTTCGACGACTTCTCGATTGCTTCTCAAAGCCACTCCGAGACGCGATCCGCTCCAGTTCGTTCCTCGAATTTAACCATCTCGATCTGTTGGGTAAAGCTTTCTACTTTCTTTATTATTACGTTTTATTGACGAGTTTTTCGCAAGATGTGTTTCGCAGCAAAGGATTCTTTAAATACACGCCTCGTTTGAAACGCTGGATTCATATATTTTATTTTAGTTACTGGTATAATAGGAACGGTTTATAGACTGCCTGTCTTTCTAAAAACGAGACCTTTTTACAATATCAAGCACTTCGGACATTTAAACGCGGTTTAAAAATGAAATGGAAATCCAGTGTTTTAGTGGATGAGCGATGACTATTGCAAAATTATTTGAAACGCTTATGATTGATCGTGAGCAGTAAAATGCACTTTTCGTATCTTATAATTTCATCCCTTGTGTGGTTAAGGTTCACTGGAATAGCACTCCAGTAATTATCTCATATGCAAGTGCTTCGATCGCAATGAGAAGTCAAATGCACTTCGTGTTGTATCTCGTGACTTTAACCCTTATCTGATATGGGTGAGTGCAGGAAAGTAACACTCGAATAATTATTTCATCGTATGCTGACATTTTTCGATTGATCGTAATGTGGAGTAAAATGCACTTTTTACGTCGAATCTCGTAACTTCAACCCTTATCTGATTAGGGTGAATTTAGGGAAATAGCACTCGAACAATTATTTCTTTGTACGTAAGAAATTTTCGATTGATCGCAATGAGGAGTAAAATGCATTTTCTTTGTCGAATTTTGTGACGGTTTCAACCCTTATCTGATTAGGGTGAGTTTAGCGAAATAGCACTTGAGTAATTATTTCTTTGTACGTAAGAAATTTTTCGATTGATCGTAATGAGGAGTAAAATGCATTTTCTTTGTCAAATTTTGTGATGGTTTCAACCCTTATCTGATTAGGGTGAGTTTAACGAAATAGCACTCAAATAATTATTTATTTGTACGCAAGAAATTTTTCGATTTGATCGTAATGAGGAGTAAAATGCATTTTCTTTGTCAAATTTTGTGACGGTTTCAACCCTTATCTGATTAGGGTGAGTTTAGCGAAATAGCACTTGAGTAATTATTTCTTTGTACGTAAGAAATTTTTCGATTGATCGTAATGAGGAGTAAAATGCATTTTCTTTGTCGAATTTTGTGACGGTTTCAACCCTTATCTGATTAGGGTGAGTTTAGCGAAATAGCACTTGAGTAATTATTTCTTTGTACGTAAGAAATTTTTCGATTGATCGTAATGAGGAGTAAAATGCATTTTCTTTGTCAAATTTTGTGATAGTTTCAACCCTTATCTGATTAGGGTGAGTTTAGCGAAATAGCACTGGAATAATTATTTCTTTGTATGCAAGAAATTTTTCGATTGATCGTAACGAGGAGTAAAATGCATTTTTTGAATCTCGTTAAAATTTCAACCCTTATCTAATCAGGGTGAGTGTAGTAAAATAACACTCGAATAATTATTTCGTTAAACAGAAGAAACACATCAATTGTAACAGAGAATAAAATGTACTTTTCGTATCTTATCTCGTAACTATTTCAACCCTTATCTAATTAGGGTGTTCAGTAAAATACCACTCGAATAATTATTTCATTAAACACAAGAATTGATGGTAATAGGGAATACAATGCACTTTTCGTATCTTATCGTAATTATTTCAACCCTTATTTAGTTCTGTGGAATTACATCCTCATAATTATTTCATTAAACACAAGAAATGTTTCGATTGTAATAGGAAATAAAATGCATTCGTATCTTATCTCTTAACTGTTTCATCCCTTATTTAGGGTGTTCTCTGAAATTACTTCTTTGTAATTATTTCATTAAACACAGAAAATGCTTCAATCGTAATTAGAAATAAACTTTTACATTTTTCGTATCTTGCAAGGAATTTAACCCTTATCTGATATCTAACCTTATCTCATCCATTAAAATCTTCTCATCTCATCTGATCAGTGTAACGCCAGAATTTATTTAATTATATCTAGTAAATAATTATTCAATATAATTCAATTGAGAATTTTTTAAAACATTAAATCATTCTTCAAAATCAGACATATAGTGATTGTCTACATCATATAAATATCGTGATCATAAAAATTGTGTAATAAATTCCGATAAGGGTTAAAAAGAGGATGGGAGTTGGTAAAAATAAAAGACCCAATGGTATCATTATTTATTTAAACAAGTCAACGAAGCATTCACTACGCGATACGCACATTGCAAACTTTTCGGATACACAAAAATTTTTTTAACAAATTTATTGCTTCGAAATCAGTATCGTATTTTTTTTTTATCTAACGTAGAGTTGATGGATCTACAAGATGGTTAAATATTGCGTAAAACGAAGCTGTATTTCTCGGCATTCATATTTTGTTTTATAGAACGATAAATACATTTCGAAGGAAAAGAACTTTCGGATTTTTTCCCTAACACCTAATCAAATCACGCAATTCTTAAACTAAAAGTCGCTCGCGTTGCTTCGAGCTAGGCTCGCGAAAGTTTGCCTAAGCTTCTATTGGAAGATGAAACGTTTATCGTCTAGAAGCACCATTCGTTAAATGTTCATAATTTACAGTTCTTTTGGTAAAATTCATCACTGCTGTCTGGGTGTACGGTTCACTCTCGATATATTGCCGATTCGGAGATACATACTAAGCGAAAGTATTGCAGTTTTCAAATTTTTGGATTTTGAGTTTCTTTTTCTGAGGTTTTCAGTTTTCAGGTTTTCTGAATTTCAAGTTTTGGGGTCCGCTATTTCTCAATTTTCAGAATTTCCGATTTTCCTAATTTTCAATTTTTAGATTTTCTAATTTTTAGATTTTCCTACTCTTCGATTTTCGTAATTTTCAATTTTTAGATTTTTCTAATTTTTCTAATTTTCAATTTTCAGAATTTCCTATTTTTCGATTTTCCTAATTTTCAATTTGCTTACTTTTCAATTTTCAGATTTTCCCATTTTGGAATTTTCCAAATTTTCAATTTTCAATATTTAGATTTTCCAATTTTTCTAATTTACAATTTTCAGATTTTCCTCTATTTAGATTGTCAAATTTTCAAATTTTTAAAGTAACAAGACTTAAAATTTTTTAACATAAAATTGTCAAATTTTCCATTTTTTCAGTTTACAATTTTTAATTGACTATTAATCTCATAGCACATCCTTAGTAAAATATCGATTTTCTAAGTACATTACCATGTTAAATTTCTCGTCTATTCTCTCAATGGCAATATAACGAGAGTCTATTGTTTCTATAATCTTTTCAACAGTCTTCTCTAATTTATTCAACTTCTTAAAATTGATTTTCTTATCCAAAGTCTTCACCTGTTGAAATCTACCTTCTTCAAGGTTCATCCATTAAAATCTTCTCATCCATAGTCTTCAACCTATTAAAATGTGTCTACGCACATTCCTCAAGATCCATCTATTAAAATCAGTCTTCTCCACGTTCTTCAAGGTCCACCATTAAAACGAACCTTTTCATCCATCTTCTTCAAATTCTTCTAAAAGCAATCTCATCCATATTTTTCAAATTCTTCTGCAAGCAATTTCATCCAAATTTTTCAAGGACGTGTTAAAATTCTTCCATAATCTTCAAGAATCTTAAAATGACTGCCATCCAAATTCTTAAACGTTGAAATCAATCTCACGCATATTCAAATAGGACTCTCAAATTGACCCCACATTAAAATCATTCCACTCATATTCTTCAAGATTAAAACAAATCTTTCGCATATTCTTCAAAAACCCTCTTAATGACTATCATTCTTGAATATCCATTAAAATCTCATCCAAATTCTTCAAGACACTCTATTAAAATCTTCCCACGCATACTCTTCAAAAGCTCTCATGAAATTCTCATCCAAATTCTTGAACGTAAATCTTGAACGTAATTGAACGTCCCTCGCCTTTTCAAGTCCTATCACCTTCTCCAAACATTTCAAAATGATTCTCTCGAACACAATACTCGAATACACATCAAGTCTTTCACACCGAATGTTCGAAAACTTTCACCCCGGTTCAAACCTCGAAGGTCAAATTTAAACCCTGGTGACAGCGATCCCCGGCCTCCCGGGGTCGAAGGCCTACCTTGACGGCCTCCACGCTTGGTTCCTGTATCTGCAGAGCAGCACCTTCTTGAACGCCTGTCGGAACACCTTGTTGAAGATCGTGTAGAATATTGGGTTCACCATGCTACTCGCATAACCTAGCCAAGTGGCCAAATCGAAGATCTTCCGATCGATTTGCTTCTCACAGTCGGGACACACCGCTGGAACTAAATTTAAGACGAAGAACGGTGCCCACAGAATTACGAACGTGAAGAACACCACTCCGAGGACTTTCGTCGCTTTTTGTTCCAGTCGGATAATCCTTCCGTGACGGGAACTGTTGCGGGAGATCACGCTGCTGGTGCGCGAGTGATGGCTACGAACTTGACCTGAGTGTCTGTGCAAACAGGGCGACGAAGAGTTGCTGCTTTGTTTCGAGCTGCTGCTGGCGGCTCCGTTGTGGGCGCGCATTGTGGCGGCGCGTCTGATGGGAGCTCTTGTGGATAGTAGAGACGTTCTTGTGTTCCCTGGGGAAATAAAATAATTATATTTAGTTTTAACGATTGTTAATGGAGGTTGAAATTATTGTGAAGATTGAACAAATTGTGGAGATTGAAATGGTTATGGTAGGGCACGTTGGGGGGCGAAGATGTCGGATTTCAATTTGGATTTCAGATAGTAGTTTTAGATTTTAACCCACTGGGTTATGGGGTACTTGTATAAGGACATGCTAGATAAATGCTCGGTGTATCTGAATTTGGGCAATTTTAGTGTGAACGTCCTCATATCGTCACATCTATGGATTCTATTTAGTAGGATCAGAAGGAAGCGATAATTTAATTGAAGTGATGAAGGTTGCAAAATGGCGACCTATGTTATATACGAAACGTTGCTAACTTACTGATTAGATATCTAAATCTCTAATTCTCTAAATCTCTAATTCTCTAAATCTCTAATTCTCTAAATCTCTAATTCTCTAAATCTCTAAATTTCTAAATCTCTAAATCTCTAATTTCTTAAATTTCCAAATTTTCTAATCTCCAAATCCTCAAATTTCTAAATGTAAAAATCTGAATTTTCATAATCTCACTGCTTTCCAAATTTGTAAATTTGAGGTTTTGAAATCTTGAGGACCTCTGAATCTACAAATCTCCAAATTTCTAAATTTAGAAACCTGAATTTTTTAATTTGATTACTCTCTAAATTTACAAATTTGTATTTTTGAAATCTCCAAGTCCAAAAATTTCTAAATCTCCAAGATTCTAAATTTAAAAATCTGAGCCACGAAATTCATTCGATTTAACTTATTATTTACAACCACAATTATTTATAAATATGAACCTACATAATTATGTAATAATTGCCTAGTGATTCGATCAATTGGATAAAACGATCGCACCTGGTGTTCGAAATTTGATAGATTTATCATCGGCTCTGTTTTAATTGCTTTGAGATAATTGATGGGAGATTATGCTGTAGGTTTCTGGTTTTGTGGTTTCGTTGTTTGTCATGCATTAGTCGTTCATAATGCTTGCGAATTAATTAATTGTCGATGATAATGTGATAGGGTTCTGATATTGAGATGACAATCTGTTATCTTAGTTATTAAATCAATTGTCACTATTCATTCAATTAATCTAATAGTTATGAGTATATTTATTTATCAATATCAGATTAATCACATATCAGACTAATCACTTCAAGTATTTAACTATGTCTCTTCTAAATTTTTTGTTCAAGTTTCAAAATTTCAATCAGCACGTGGAATTACTTATTGCAAAGAAGATTCGTTTACTGATAAATTATTACTAGTTAATTATCGATTTTCTAATAATCAAATACACTAATAACGTGTTTGCGTATCTGTAACGATAAAATGATTAATTATACATCGATATAATGAATGATTGAGGACGATAATGTTTAGTTATATCATTACACAAAATAATAATAGAATGATTCATTAGAGCACGTCACTATACAATCAAATACTGATTGTGAATATAAAATATTGCTCCAAATATATCTATCCAGAAGCAAGCACATATTTATGAATAATTAATTAATGGTAAAAAATGTGTTATCTAATATAATGTATGAAATATCTCATTCCATACATAAAACAATAATTAAATAATTTTTATATATTAATATCGATATCAACCCATGAGTTAGCGCGTGGAGAGGTTGTCAAGTTTAGAAGAGCTCTGATTGGTCAGAATAGAAAAATGGACGTCTCACACGTGTTTTCAACGATACAATGAGTTCTCGCTGTGGCACACCAATCAGTTAGGTCAAAAACAATGACAGTCAGCACATGTGTCTCAAGTGAGTGAGATAGTGCTTTTCATTGTCATTACTATTCTGATTTACCGAAATGTAATTGTTAGTGTTCGCAGTGTAGAAAGAGCTTCTTTTACTTTATGTCACGCGTCAACTAGCGTCACGCGTCATAGGTGACCCAATCCATATATTTGTTGACATCTACACAAAATACTAACATAACATCGCATCGCTATAAAATACTGATCCAACCAAAAACAAACTTCTTCACAATTTCTAACATTCGAAATAAATCTTGTTGTCATAAGTGTCTCTACCTCTATCACGAGGATATTCTGATAAAAATTCATGGAACCTAATCAAGATCTCACTCACCAATTTTCTCTCCTACAATCTTATCTAGGATAGAATCTAAAATCTATCTTGAAATTCAGAAATCATAAAAACCCACCTAAGCTCGATCCTCTCCTTCCTCCCCGCCACGTGACGACCGAATTCAGCTCGTAACTCCTGTTAGCCTCCAATCTGCTGTTCCTCCCCAAAAGTCCTGCCTCGAGATTCTTCCCCGAAATCGGCTTCATAGTGTCGCTAGAAACAATCACGATCTCGCTGGAAGGCTGAGTCGCCGGCCTCTTCGACGATTCCCCGAAATAAGGACAGGTGCAAGGCGGAGGCAACGCCATGCCTTCTGACTCCTGTTTCTCCAGCGATTTCCTTTGAACGTTGTTCTCGTTCGACGAGTCCTTCCTGAACACGGAAGACCGACCGAACGATTCCTCGTGGAAGCTGAAGGATCTTTTTCTCGGTGTCTTCGGAGAACTCGATTCGGCTCGTTCCAGGTGAGCCTCGTTGAAGGTTGATGCTCTTCGACGGTGCTTCCACGGTGTCGGTGAACTCAGGTCCTCCTGCATTGATAGGCTGGTTCTCGAACCGGAGGCACTGCTGGCTCCGCTTTCTCCGCTTCTGTAAATTTAGAGTTTTACAAGTTTATATTTTGTTAAGAGTTTATGATTTTTTATTTTTATATTTTGGTGCTCTTTCATATTTTGGTATTCTTTCACATTTTGGTATTCTTTCAGATTTTGGTATTCTTTAACATTTTGGTACTCTTAAGTTTTGGTATTCTTTCACATTTTGGTACTCTCACATTTTGGTATTCTCACATTTTGGTACTCTCACGTTTTGGTACTCTCACATTTTGGTACTCTCACATTTTGGTATTCTCACATTTTGGTACTTTCACGTTTTGGCACTCTCACATTTTGGTACTCTCACATTTTGGGACTCTCACATTTTGGTACTCTCACATTTTGGTACTCTCACATTTTGGTACTCTCACATTTTGGTACTCTCACGTTTTGGTACTCACAGTTTGGTACTCTCACATTTTGGTACTCTCACATTTTGGTACTCTCACGTTTTAGTACTCTCACGTTTTAGTACTCTCACATTTTGGTACTCTAACATTTTGGTACTCTCACATTTTGGTATTCTGACATTCTGGTACTCTCACATTTTGGTATTCTCACATTTTGATACTCTCACATTTTGGTACTCTTACATTTTGGGACTCTCACATTTTGGTACTCTCACATTTTGGTACTCTCACGTTTTGGTACTCTCACGTTTTAGTACTCTTACAGTTTGGTACTCTCACATTTTAGTACTCTCACGTTTTAGTACTCTCACGTTTTAGTACTCTCACGTTTTAGTACTCTTACAGTTTGGTACTCTCACATTTTGGTACTCTCACATTTTGGTACTCTCACATTTTGGTACTCTCACATTTTGGTACTCTCACATTTTGGTACTCTCACATTTTGGTACTCTCACATTTTGGTACTCTCACATTTTGGTACTCTCACATTTTGGTACTCTCACATTTTGGTACTCTCACATTTTGGTACTCTCACATTTTGGTACTCTCACATTTTGGTACTCTCACATTTTGGTACTCTCACATTTTGGTACTCTCACATTTTGGTACTCTCACATTTTGGTACTCTCACATTTTGGTACTCTCACATTTTGGTACTCTCACATTTTGGTACTCTCACAGTTTGGTACTCTCACATTTTGGTATCCTTTCACATTTTGGTACTTTCACATTTTGAGGGTTGACTCTTTCGAAATTTGAATACTTGTTATTTTTTTAAGTACTGAAAGATAGGGTGCGTTAGGGTATTTTATTGTATGTCCCTTGAAAGATTTACTATTTTTTTTAGGGGTGAGCCTTGTGGTATTTTATAGAAATGGTGGATTAATATTGTAATCTTGAATGAAATATTTATTTATCTTTTGCAGTGGTATTAGAAATAGAGACTTTCAAATATTCTATTTTAGTGTCACAACATTTCTACATCTAGTTTTATAGATATTTGCAAGATTCTAGTGTTGTGGTACTTAGAATGATTTTATGTTCTAATAGGATCAAGTTAGAAATGTAAATTCTGGTATTATAATATTTGGAGATCCCATAATTGTAGTATACTAATATTTTGAAATCTCATATTTTGGTAGTGAAATACGGATGTTACGTTCTAATAGTAGAATACATTAAATTTCTCTAGTTTATTGCTAGAATTCTTTGAGGTACTATTTTCTGACGTTACCACGTAACATTTGTTAATTTTGAGGGTGACATTATTAACTGTACCTAATAACATAACATAACATAATAACATAACATAATAACACAACCTAATAACATATATAACATAAGAATTATCATTTGTATGGCTGTAATTAATATCCTCTACTAATTCTTCAACTATAGTCACCGACATAATATTCCTCGCCATCAAACAGAATAATAATCATTCTCTTCTAATTTCATGGCACTTAGGAAGTTATATGCATGTTCACCCATAATTTTATAAAATATACAGTTAGATATTTAAAGAGAAGCTATGCATTTTTGATGAAGAGGAATTCGAATTTGCATCGAAACGAGAACACGTATATTCATTAAAACTAGTGTATTTATTTAGGCCATTGTATTTCCGTAACTTCTCAAACATTTCCGTATCTGTGTGATCTGTTAACGAGCTACTCTAATTGCATTTACCTCCTCTCTTCTAATAACCTGTATTCTTTTCCTGTATTCTTAAAATTTTTAATAATTTGTATCGAAATTGTACATTCTTAAATATTCTTTAAAAGCGATATTTCATTAGAGGGGAAGAAATCATTATTGATCAATCATCTTTTTTAATACATTGATTGTCAAGTTGTCGCTGTTAGAAATTTAACCGGGTACTATTTTCATTTTCAATAAATTTTGTGTCTCACTTCTTCATTTTTCAACATAGCTACAAATAGTTAATATGAACGTTTGCAGTTAATGAATAAATTCTTGATAACACATTCATATGAAAAAGTCCCATATGTGCAAGTTATATACACATGTGAATATCATCCCAGTGTTAAATTCATCTCAGAACAAATTTCAATAAAATCTTCATTTTCTTGTTCTTTAAATCTTCATTTTTCTCTTCTTTCACAAGAGAAGCTATCAAACTTATGAGGTTATGAAGTTGTAAAAATTATGACTAAATAAAGACTCCCAGAAAATGTTCCCCAACTAGTAAACCCAAAAGACAGAAAATTTAAAAAAATCATCCTCTTAAAATTATTAATCATTCTTACCCTTGCAACACAAAGTAAAATATACAGCAATATAGACCTCATCCTCAGCAAAAAGCTTTAGAAATGTAGACAATTTTTCGCCCGCATTCCTCATGTCCCCATTTTTTCATATCCCCATGAAACGTAATGGCCTCGGGGAATAAAGGGACGAACACCGGTTGCTATAAAGTCGGACACGTATGAAACGCAGCTGTGCCGGCCACTTTTGACGGGTTCTATCCATTATTGAGGATCAGCCAGCCATTATTGCTTCTCAGAGATTTCTGGCTGCGAGGTACATAGCTTTGGTCGAGGGGAAACTCGTCGATAGAGCTCGTGATGAGGCTTGCTTTTTATGGAGCAAAATGAAATTGTACGAAACGTAACAGCTTTTGGTCACTTTACTACCCATTTTTGGGTACCTGGTAACATTGTATTTTTACTGGTTGTCCATTTCAGGGCAATTTTATTGTCATTTGTTTCGATCATTTTGCCGCGAAATTCAAATTCTATTATTGGGACGAGTATGAATGTTTTGGAAGACTGAGTATGGAGATTTTTAATTTGGAATGCATTGTTTGATGTGAAAGCATGTTTATATATTTTATATTCTGACACAAGTTGTCGATTTTTAGTCACTTTGATTGTCTTCAGTGTAGGTGGCTTTGGCGCGAAATTCAAATTCAATTATTGGGACAAGTATGAATGTTTAGGAAAACTGATTATGAAGATTTTTAATTTACATTGCATTGTTTGATGTGAAAGCATGTTTATATATTTTATATTCTTCTACAAGTTGTCGATTTTTAGTCACTTTGATTGTCTTCAGTGTAGATGGCTTTGGCGCGAAATTCAAAATTAAATATTAGAATAAATACGTGTATATACAACAAATCTAATTATAAAGATTTTTAGTATGCAGTACAGTATTTGATACGAAGCTGTACACATTTAATATACTTCTACCAGCAGTCGATTTTTGATCACATTGAATGTCCTCAAGTTCGCTAATTCTGGCGCGAAATTCAAATTCAAACATTAGACCCAGTACGTACATATGTAAGAAACTACTAATAAAGATTCTTACTATAGACAATAATATTTTTGACATAAAATTGTACATGTTTAATGTAAAATCACTTTAATAATTCAGGATAATAAACTTAACATGATAAAACAGTAGAATAATAAATTTCTGATGTGTCTTTTAAGAACGTTCCAAATTAGCAACATATCGTTCCTCTTTAAATAAACTTTTCAACAAGAAATTCATCTACTGCCAGTACTAAGAAATTAATTGTTACATAAAATATATAATTGAGTTATATAAAATTGTAAAAGATTACGCAACAAGAAGTTAAGAGTTTTTATTCAATGCAGTTGCCTTCGTATTTCAAACGGTTATATAAGTTCATTAGCAGTATCGAAAGAAATAACGAAAGCATTATTTAAATGTGACCAGATCCGAAGTTTGTTATATAACGCGGTAAGAAAAATGCGAGGAGGTCAAAAAGCCGGGCACCTGACGCGTTAATTAAATCATTGTTTCGAAGAGAAACCGGAGAAAGGAAGTCAAGAGGGTAGAAAGCTTTCTGTACGAAGGAAAAAAACGGTAACCGTTTCCCGGGACAATTACGAGTCAGACTTCTTTTCCGCGGGCCTCGAAAGAGCGTCAAAGTGACGATCCACACTGGTCGAAAGGTGGCACGAATCCTTTGTGGAAACGCGTTCAAGCTTGCTAAGTGCATTCCTTTTATTAGAGAGTTTCAGCCAGGAAGAGCAGTTTACTTAAGTGCGACCACTGGACGAACGTTCCAGTTTTGCACTTTGAGCGCAGCCTAAGTACGCAGCCATTCTCGAAGCGAAACCCTCTACACGCTGTTATGAAAGTAATGGTCATTGCTTACACCCCGGCCATTTTGCACCTACCGTTCAATGAACACTTGTCACGTAACTATTAACGGAGTTAATTGAAACCTTGGAATTAAATTTCTATACAGTTTGCAATTCAGAATTTGGTTCACTAGTTTTTGCTTGAAAAATTGCAGATCGGTGCATGTTATACATTTTTGCATTTCATTGCATTTTATTATTTATTTTGCATTTCATTGTATTCTTTTGCATTTTTTGCATAATAGTGCAACCGTATGTTTAATATCTGTGCAAATTTTGGGGAAGAATATTTTGGATGAAACGTATGAGGAAATTGAACTTTTGCAGATTTCATGACATAGAATAGTCATGACTTTTTTCTATTAATTGAATTATAATTAAATGTGTATTGACATTGCTGCATCTTTTTTTAATGATGACACATTTTAATTTAATATAATATG